ATGGGGGAGCTTTGAGACAGTACAAAAACATTAATTTATTTTTTATAATATTTTTTTTCAATCCAACAAACAAAAAAGATAAATAATTGAAAAATTAAAACGTAGAATGCCTTACTTCTTAAAACATCTCCAACCAATGTAAACACCAACTATATTTATATTCAAAATATAATAAACAAGTAAAAGGCTAATAAGAGTCAAACATCTATAATTAAAATCAATTAAATCAACTAATATATTAAATCAGCTAATATATTAACATATCTATATATAAATTAAAAATTAAAAAATTAACATATAAATTAAATATTCATAAAATTATGAAAAGCTTTGGATAATACATAAACCAATTTTTCATGACGGTTATGATAAAAGTTGATGATATGGTTTATTTATTATCCAACGCTTTTTATAATTTTATTAATATTAAATTTATATGTTAATTTTTTAATTTTTAATTTATATATGGATATGTTAATATATTAGTGTTGATTTAATTTAATTGTTTTTAATTATAGATGTTTGACTCTTATTAGCCTTTTACCTGTTTATTATATTTAGAATACTAAGAGTCCTGTATTTATACATATTTAATTTATGTTTATATTCGTTAAATATTGGTCTACATTCAATATAGATAATTATATATATACCATATAATATATATATACATATGATATTTGTTGGCAAGCATTGACCGTGTAGAAGTGTCTTTAATCTTTCATTCCGTTTTATGATTTAAGGTGCGATATAAGCGAGAGATGCAAGCGACAGAATTCGACACTGTAAGTGTATGCGGCACTCTTGTACCTTGTCTAGCAGGTGATCAGTACTAATCTTGTAACGTGAATTAACATTAAAATCTAAATTAACAAAAATAAGTAGTTTGTACTTCAATTAATATGTAATTCGTTTAGTGTTAAAAGCCATTAATCGATTATTATATTACAATAAAGCCTCGAATTTCGGGAAAAAAACAGCGGAAACAAAGTTGTACACCAATATTTGTACATCAAGTATTGTACATCAAGAACTCTAGGTATTCACAAAATAAATTTGTTAAGCTGATCAGAACTATGCGACCTTGAATTTCGTTAAGAAGTTAGCACCCCATTTTTAAAAAAATTATTAAAAAATGATTATTAAGCGCATATGTCATTAAAAATCATAGAGAACTCTTCGTATCGTCAAAAAGAAGCAGGAATTATCATCAGAACTATTGTATCTGAAAATTAATTTTTCAAAAATTTTTAATTTTTTTTTTATTATTCGAAAATTTTTTTTACTTATCAGGAACTCTAGGCAATCGCAAATTGAATCTATTAAGCCGCTCGGAACTATTCCACCTCGAAATTCGATAAAAAGTTAGCACCCCATTTTTTAAAAATATAAAAAAAATGTTTATTGAGCGAAACTCTTGTTATTAACTATAGGGAACTCTTCGTCTCGTCAAAAGGAAGTGGGAACTCTAATCAGAATTCCTGAGTACTATAGTTGGGGTGCTAACTTAACATACCCTATATACGGTTCTGCAGCTAAGCAAATTGTTTTAAACGCTTGTTAGTATGTAACCCACGGTGCCTCAGCAAGAGATGGCCCATGGTACCCCAATGTGTCTAATATAAAAGACGGTGAAATATAACATCGAAGTAAATAATAAATGATTATCTGCACTAAGAAAATACGAAAAGATGTGTAGAATTATGTATGTAACTCGTAATAAGTATATTATACTTGTAGAAACAACGTGTAAGAAATTTTGACAGATAAAATAATCATTTTCGCACCACAAGATTCTTTAACAGCACTTGTACGGAAAGATAACGGAAGTGGATCACTGTTATCTAGATACATAGTATGGGCAACTAAATAACAATCATATGATATCATTTACATCAACCTAAACATTTTAGATTTCCTTAAACAGTTAATGACCTATGGAGTCCCGGTCTTCCCTATATTAACCTATTTTTTAAATAAAAATGTAAAAGTAATAAGTATAGATAAAAAAATTTTAATTATTCAAGTGTCCATCTTTTTCTAAATATTTTGTCATTTTTAGTATAAACAAATTAAATTAAAAAATTAAATTAAAACTATTTAATCTAAATTACAAATTGACAGATTTTTCAAGACACGCTTGATTCATTAATGAGAAACAGCTGATTGTGAGGCATACCCGTAACAATTGGATCGTTTAACCCGTTTTTATTGGCGGGTTACGCGAGCGGGAAGCTCGCCAGAAAATGTGATCGCGTTTAGTTCAATTGGACGAGTGGAATCATATTCCGACATTGCGAATTGAATTGATAAAAGAATGCATCTCTGAACATGTCCTCGCAAAGTACGTTTACTTTTCTATTTAAAGTGAACAAACGACCGGATACTTGACGCAGTTCCGTTCTAAGAGCAACGAAGATTTGTCGAAGAACGAGATTGCCATCTAAATCGACTAGGACTTCTATTTTCGTCGTGAGAAGCGAAACTAACTCCATCACGTCGAGAGCAGTCGACTCTTCAACTCGTCGCGTCGGACATGATCGCGAGTGACCGAAATCGTGATCAGATCGAGACAACAACAGCCGGTGAGGGTCCGAAGCCATTCTTGTATAACATCCAGTAGTGTTAACCCAATATATCTCCAAGTCAAAGTAATTCTTTATATGTGAATTAACAAAGTGATGCACATACAGGAATATACGAGAATCGTCCTACGAATTCCTATCCAGATTACCGAACAGTAAGATATTATAAGAAAATATAATTATACTCATTAGTTTCCTAACAGATCTATTTCCATGTGTAAATGTAAATTTCTGTACGTGTATACATTTCTATATTCGTCTATGATTAACACGTCGTAGAAACGATATGCAAATATAATTAATTCAAGTTGTACGTATTATGAATGAATTTTGGACGAGTTTCATATATTATAAGTACAGACATTTTATTTAATATTTTAGCAGCATATCGTAATTAGTTTTAAAGAAACTGTTGAATATTACCCTTTTCTTTCTTATTTCCTTGTCATGTAATCAGATGATTCCTCCTACACGTAAATATCTCTATATCTCTTTCATATATTTTAATTGCGTCATTTGTTATGTAATTCATAATGTAGCTACGAATTTTCGTTTTTCAGATAGCGTTAACGAACCCGCCAATTTCGATACAGCTATATCCACGACTGGTAAGATCTCTTAAAATCATTACAAATATACATAATAATTTTTATTATTTTATTTTATATTTCCTTATCTCTCTCAGGCTATGGATTATTCAATGTGCTGCTGCTACTGGCGGTGTTGCCAATCGCGTGGACCGCTGTTTTCGATACTACTTCTGGCGCGTTCATCTTGGCATCGGCTGAATACGATTTCAAACTTACGTTTTTTCGCAAAGGCATGCTCGTTGCGTTTCCTTACTTAGGTATAAAATTAATTTAATAAAAATAATTGTAATAATCTTACATAAATATAGATAATCTATAAAAAAATTACATTTAAAAAAATTATATAAAAAATATAATACATTAACATTAAAAAATTTACTCTTTTTTAAAACTCTTTTAAGTAGTCAGGCATTAATGTATTGTTGGTAAATATTTATCTTTACATAGTCAGCCCCGTATGACTTCCAACTGATCTTGATGTTAACCTTAATTTCCAAGACGTTGGCATTCCCTTGTCGCTCGTTGCTTATTAAAAAGTTATTAACAAATAAAGTTAACAAAATAAATGTGTTTAACTTTATAATATAAATTATCTAATACAAATATTCACATTATTCGCATATTTAAATAAATATTTAAACGGGAAACCGTATAATTATAGACCTCGTTTTGTACTCTAAACAGAGGGTGGTGTGGAGTGCATTTCACTTCGCGTAGAAAAAGTTGAAAACCTATAGTTGAAACCATACAATTTTAGATTTTGTTTCATACTGTAAGTAGGGACGATATGAAGTGGACTTCGTTTTGCATTGCAAAGCAAACGTGTGGAGAAAGATATAACTTAATCAAAACCCAATTAGAGGTGAAACCCAAAAAATTGGGTTTAAGTTATATCTTTCGAGTGCAGCTTAAGGTATTAAAACGTATTTTTGCAACGCAAAAGGTCCGTCCCTTACCTTCAATGCAAAACAAGATCAATAATTGTACAGTTTCACATGGATTTTTAACTTTCTGCTCTAAGCAAGGTTCAATCCATACCACTTTTTGCTTACAGTGCAAAACAAGGTCCAAAATTGAACGGTTCTGCCCCTTCTCCACCATACATTTACTTAAATATATAAATATGCGATTAATATGATATTTATATTAGGTAAAATTCAAATTATAGAGTTAAATACTGAAATACATGTTTGTATTGCTTTATTTGTTAATATTCTTTTAATAAACATAATGAGCGAAAAGAAAGATCAATGATCTTCTTAAAAATTAAAATTAACATCAAGATTGATCGAAAGTCATTTGAGATTATTGACTGTGTAAAGGTAAATATTTATCATATTATTATTGGACATTATTTTTATCATATTATAGTCCAATTCATTTATAATCTTATATCTATATTAAAATATTATCATGTAAGTTAATCTCTTCATTTTATATTAAATATTACGATATACTGATCTTTCGTAGGTATGACAATGACTGCTTTTATATGGGATTATATAACGCCCTATATACGTATGAAAATATTGTTCATCCTCGCATTATTAGGTGATTCAATTTTGAACATTGTGAGTAGTGGTGTACGATCGTTCCACATATTTCTACTAATCAAATTTATCAGCGGGATTTTGTAAGTACATGATTCTTTTAAGAAAATTATTTCAAGAAATCCCTTAAAGTACAACTGTTGTACGATCATCTTGCTCTAAAAAAATATATTATTTTAAATTTATTCATGTTACATATTTCAATGAATAGAATTCTTCCTAAAAATTTCTCATTTAAAAATTCTAATAAAAAAAACATTTTACATATATTTAAATTGAATTTTGATTAACAGAATAATATATTTCCTATTAATCAAATCTTTTCTCCTAAAAATTTCTAAAATAGTTTAAACGTATCCTTTTTTAACCGCTCAAAGCTTTATCGTGCAACTTCCTCCCCTCGCAGTCTTACGTCCGATAAGATAAGAGTACGCGTGCATCTATGATTTACAGCGTAGGCGGCCCGTTGGCGATGGTGATGACGTACCTGACGGAATTCCATTCGGCAAGGTATAAACCCCGCTTCACCACATGGACGGGATTTCTCTTTGCCATAGCAAACATCGTACCAGCAGGTAAACATGCGATCGCGCAATATCCTTTAATCGTACTTATCAAGTACAATGCATTGTTTGCAAAAGCGATGCTTGTAAAGATATATCAAAAACTAAATTTGAGTTAAAAATAAATTTTATATATATAATTATAAAATATTTAAAATTTATTTACGCGATGAGCATCTGCGTAATTATTATATTACATAATTGTAATAATTTCCTATAACTACAATTATTATTAATATTGCGTCTATTTATTCGTATTCTATCTGTTTAAATGTAACTGTAATATTTTGAGAATGATTCATATGAAAAGGATTTAAAAACAGTCTCATACAGCTCTTGCTATCGAGATTGGCAAAACTAGTTCGAAACTAGATTACATGTCACTATCACGATGTCCTGTATGTAATAACCAGCAAACTTTACTTAGCAACATGAACGATGAATCACATTGGCATCAAATAGTTTCAGTTGAATACGCAAACTATATTGAGATTGTAAAGCTATGAGAAATTAATTAATTAATTTCCATTGAAGAATTAATTCTCTGTACGCGAAGACTTCCCGTTATCTCCTGTCACAAAGAAGATAATGCGAAAAGTCGAAAGATTGTTATTGAACAATCTTTCCCAGAAGAAGAAAAGATTGCTGTTGAACAATCCTTCCCAGAAGACGAAAAGATTGCTATTGAACAATCCTTCCTAGAAGAAGAAAATTAATAAAGACAACATGTTGTCATGGATTTATCTTAATAAATTAAACGTACAACTTCACAGCTATTGGCATGACGGTATTACCGTTAGACTGGCACATTGATATCTTTGGCAAAGACTACGATACTTGGCGTATATACATACTGATCTGTTCAATACCACCCGTCGTCGGCCTTGTAACGGCGACCATGTTGCCGGAAAGCCCTAAGTATCTCATGGCAACTGGCAGGTCAGATGCTGCCTTGAAATTGCTTAGGAGGATGTATTGTATGAACACCCGCCAACCTGCGGATACGTTCCCGGTAAGTCAAATAACGTGTGAAACGATGTAACTTTTATTTCTATATTTCTTAGTTTTCTCTATACCTTTATCCTTTTATCCTTTCCAAATTGGATCATTTATTTCTTAAACCAAAAATAACACGCTAAAAGTTAATTTAAAAAGTTTGATCTCGCAGAGATTTTCCGATTTTTATCTTCGATATGTTTCAAGTAAACATTGCTGCACTTGTTATATGTATATTGGCCGGTTTTTTTGACAGAAACACAAAGCAAGAGACATTTTCGTTCTAACTTGGGGAAACGACAATATTGCATTATTCGGGCGTTATTAACTTTTTACCGGCTTATCGAGTAAAACTCGTTGTTTCGGGGCTTTAACAAATGACTAGGAGATATCCTCCGCGACTTCATAGCACCTCGGCTAGATACAAACGACACATTTTATTTATGGCACGTCCGCAGAGAAGAGAAAAAGAGCGAGAAAGCGAAGTAAAAGCGGAAACGGATGTGGAGAAAGGCGCAAATCGTATTTTCCAGGCGAATGAAGGTAGGGTCGGTACTGGGCGTTACAACACACACCCCAAGCGAATTTAAATTTTGCACCTCTTTTTATCGCGAAACCTTCGGACAATAAATCACCATTTCGCAGATCTATTTATTCAGATCTTGATAATGAAAACAATGATAAATTTATACCGTTCATGCTTTATGTATCATACATACTTATACATATATTTCTCCCTATCTTATACTATATGTCTGTGCCTTTCGTATTTTACGCCGCTCTTGCCACTGCATTTAGATAGCGGTGCACAAATCGGACGCATAATTCACTCGGTGAGCCGAGAAAAGGGCGCCTTTCATCGTCGCTCCCTTCTCGTTGTAGATAAAAGCTCTGTTCGTTCAGCAAAAGACGCAATTGGCGCGTCCCATGCTCGAGGCGAGCTTCGAAAGGATGCGCATCTCGTTGTACAACACGAAGATACTACTGACGAGTCACCTGCCCGCTTTCTGCTTCGTAAGTTTCCTTCAATTTGGAAGTATGCTCGGGTAAGTTTGGATAAGTCGCGTTTGCCTTGGACACTTCTCGATACGATAATATTCAAAAGCAGTGACGAATACCATATTCGATTGTGTAGATTTCACATAATGAGATTGTGGGTGCCGCATCTTTTTATCATTGTCCGAAACTTTGACGAGGAAAATTGGATATCGAAGGAAAGGCAGCCGACCTTCTGTGAAATGCTGGACCGTCACGTGGCTTTACCGGGCAGGCAATATTTAAATTGTTCGAACTTTGACGATACATTTTTCAGGGTTGGTAAAAATTGCTAAAAAGCATACCGTTAATAATCTAATTATTGTCAAATGAATATTAAAATGTTAATTTTAGAATAAAACCACCAAGTGTTTTTAATTAACAGGTAATTAAACCGATCATCGATTAACCGCAAATTACGAGCCTCATTAACTATTTCCTTGAATAGAATTTATATAATAGCAATTATAGCGCCTTAATGCTTTTCAGTGGACCATCTATTCTGTGATTTATCAAAATTCCACCGTTATCGCATCGTCTGCCGTTATATTTTCATTTCTCGTCGGATTCATAATGACTACTAAACTTCGAAAACATATCATAATGAGTAAGATATTATATCGTTACGTTTATTGTATAAAACTTAAAACTATCTCTCCTAACTTTGTTAAAGAAATTAACACGAATTATTTTATGTTAATAATAAATGCAATAAAATTACTACCATTAAAAAATATTATCATCTATAGTCACGTAAAAAAATATTATTTTCCTTTTTTTAAAAAGGACGTCAATTTTTTTTGCGTATTTTTTATACATTATATAATTATTTTTATATTTTCTTGTTACACGTGGAGATTAGAAGTGGCTAAGAGTTCCTCTATGGAACAATTGTTTCGCGGGAATAATCCATAAATTAACGGATACAACACCATTGTTGCAGTCACGGCCCTCCTGATATCGGTGGCAAGCAGTTTCGGGATAAATTGGGCGCAGTCTCCGCCGTATATGCTGACGCTGGCGGCGGCGGTTATCGTGACGACAAGAATAGCGGGTAATATCGTTACCGCGGTGAATGTCGACGTTATTCCCGTCCCATTAAGGTAATGCCGCGCGAATATATAAGCGCGTCTCTTTGACGTGCGCGACCGTATCTTCCGCATTCTCGCCCGCGCATCTCTGTGTAATTCCTGCAGAGGAATTAATTGCGCCATACGTGTAACCACGTGGCAGATGTGGTGAGTATACGCGAACAGTAGCAATCTCAAAACGTATCGAGCACAATCCTCAATTCGCCACATATTATTGTCCGTTAACGCGAGAAACCGAGGTACGTCTCGTCGCGAGAGATAAATATAATCGGTCGACAGAAACGAATCCTTTTGTTGCAGAGATACAAGCATCGGTATCCTCGCAATCATTGGAAATGTTGCCGCTATCGTGGGAAATCTGATTTTCTCCGCGCTTCTGGAAACTGAATGTATCATCGCTTTTATAGGATTGGGTTGTTTCTTCTCTGGTACGATTAATATCACGTGTGCTAGTTTAATCCTTTCGATATACAAATCGTATCAATCATATGCTATTACATTTTAAGATTGTTTTAAAAAGTTGATCTAATTATTATCTCAAAAGCGCCCTTAATATTGTAAAAAATAAAATGTTAATTTTAACTTATAGACGTTTAATCTACTGAGACATGCAAAAATGTTAAAATTAACATTTTTTACAGTGTATCCACGAGATATGTATAATATAATTCGTAATGACAGATTTAATGTGTATTAAACTATCAAATTATAATATATCAAATTATAGACTGCAACACAAATTTCAAAATGCTGTTATAAACGCTCAAATATTTTAGATTAATTTACTGATAACTAAAATTAATCTCAATTTTCCGATAGGGTATAATTTAATTTTTTTTCAATGTATTTTTTTCAGTCTGCCTGTGCATATCTATTCTTTCTGCAATCTGTGAAAGAACCGCCAGCGAACCTGCTGAAGTTAGTACAAAATTGTGAAGAGCGCAAAACACAAATCACCCGCATAATTACAGAATTATAAAAATTCAATTCAATGTGTAGTTGTTTGAAAAAGCTCTAGACTGTGATATTTATTTAAAACAATTTATCGAACAAAAAATGTTTTAAGTTTAAGAAATAGAATACGAAATAAATCTGTGTCTCTCTTTTCTTCTCAAAAATAGGTGCAATACTCGTATAATTTTTTATAGAATTCTACGACTGTCTCTTTTTTATTCTTTCTTAATGCTTCTCAGCCGAACAACGTGATCTTTTTAATGACTTACAATAAAACAAGTACTTCCAACTTTTATGGAAACGCGTCGTGTATGCTGTTTCAAAATCTTTTCTGACGAAAAGTTTCTGACGCTACGACAGTAATTTATCTTCGTAAAAGTTTATAGCATCAGAAACAAGAAACGTAGATGTGAATATTACTTTTTACGATTATGAAAATATTACCTACTGAATAACGTCATTAATCTTTATAACTATCTTGAATTATCTTCGTTGTATGTTGTATGTGATACGTACTTAATAATGCACTTCTTGAAACATCGTTATATTCGTTGACCCGAAAATATAATCTCTTATGCACAACAAAAGAGTACAATCAAATTATTTATTTATTCCCTCTACGTCTATTCTATATTTTAATTTTATATAAAATGTTTAAAATTTTTGTAATAACTACAACATATAATTAATTTCACAAGAAGATCAGGCACAATCTAACATTTCATTTTATTTACATTTCACATCTTTTTATTCACAAATTTTACATATTTAGCTTAAACTGCTTTTAGTTTCATCCACGGGATTTAGAAAATTACATTTGAATTGGAAAGTATTTTGTGCTTCCAATTTGTTTGGAATTATTCAAAACTCCTGGTCGTCGCCTAGTAACGAAAGACTTATGGCAGCCTATGTATGTGAATATTGCGCCGTCGCAGATATAGCGACGTTGATTACGTGTAAGCTGTGAGATACTACCGCGGACAGTCGCGGTTATCGAAAGTTATCCAACGCGATAGTTAATTAGCTAGTTGTGCACGGAACTGGCCGAGGGGCAAATTCGCCGTAAAGTTTACCTTTCCCGAATATGCATGAGGGAACCATATAGCGCATGCTTATTGCCATAGTGGCGGTAAGGCGAGAGTTACTCCGCTGGAGCTGCACTTCTCGGTTTTGCTCGTAGCATAAACATCCGAACTTGTACGCGGTTTCCTCCGGTTCGGCGCAATCGTGCGATATATAGGGCAGCCCGCCGCCACCACCGCGGAATTAACGTAAGCCGTACAGTTATTCGTCACTTAACCCTTTCGGGATAACTCCGGGGATAACGCGGTCCCAAAGAATGTTTAATGCCACCCAGGGATTAAGAGCTTTCCGTACGTTTCTGGCTTACACGTCGAGTGTTGTCTCAAAGACCAAAATTCAAATAATCGTAATATCTCAAAAGAGCCCCCCACGCGTTTTCCACGAAAAGTCTTGTTAACAATAAGTTTTTATGAAATTATATAACAATTATATAAATATTATACACGTTATATTATATATACGTATGTAAAATTAGAAAATAACAATCATAATTATAAATGTTGAATGTACAATTATCAGTTATTTCTGAAAATTTATTATACATTTAACCCATTATTTGGTTTAAAAATAAAATTAATGCATTATTATATTTGATTATACAAAATTGATATAAACGTCAGGATTTCATGTTATTTGAAAACTCACAAATTTGTCTGGCGGTCTATGTAATAGGCAATAATTTTACGATTTATTTTATAGGATTATATATCGAACGATACGTATGTAAAGCGACTCTCATTCCGAACCATTATTTAAACAAGTTCGCGCATCATCGATCACTGCAACAATTTCATCTTTGATTTAATCTCTGTTGCGTTTAATACGTGTTATTCATTTTGAGTCATGTAATAGTCATGATGTCTGATTAATATTTTATCGCGATAAATATCGCAGCTATTTTATTAAATGCGTTAATTAAAGGCAAACATGTTGCGAATGAAGATGTTGTACAAGCGTGCATTAACTGCGATACAAATTGGTTAGCCTGTGATGTTATGATTTGAGTAAAATAAATATTTTATGTTTCGCAAATTAAACAACTCATATAGTATAATACTGATAAATCGTTATGAGTTCAACAATTGTCGTATGTATCGAATTGGCTTTATAAATTCACTTTATAAATTTTAGATTGGGGTAACTTAAAAAAAATTGTTGTACCAATATCTTTTTAATTAAATAATATAAATAAAAAATAACCTTTGGCATTCGCAATCCAGCTGCATCAATATTAAATATCACGTGTACATATCTTGTTTTTACTATTCTTATTCTTCTTATTATTCTTAAGTTTAATTGTATCTTGATCTTTTTAATTTTCTTCAAGCAATCGTACTTCTATTCATAAAATCGCTTGTATAGTATAAGTGTATATAATGTATAAGGGTGTGTGAATATTTACAATGTATTATGTTCAAATCCGTAGTAGGTCTAAATGACTATGCGGATCACGCGAATTATTCTTACACTGAGAAAAAAATGCTGTTGATTCAATTAAAATCTATATCACGGGCTGTCACTAACATAAGTAATTAATTCATGTATATTTTTATTGATACAAAAACTTTGATTATTAAAACAATAATCAAAACCTTTGTATCAATAAAAATATACATGAATTAATTACTTATGTTAGTGACAACCCGCGATATAGATTTTAATTGAATCAACAGCATTTTTTTCTTAGTGTAGGAGGTAGCAAAAGAATGCACTTTTCGTGCCCTCTGATCGATGCTAAATATTATCAATTCTCGACTCATATACTCCACGGATAACGTAATGAATACCTCGAGTAGGTATACCCTATTTTCGAACATTTCATGGTAGTTGATACTTTTGTGTTATCGATTGAGTAAAAGTACCGAGCACTGATACCTTATCTACTTGTATCTATTTTATCGACGGTCATGCATACTCATATTTACTGACTGTAGATTCTCCTGTTTTCTTAGAAAAGCAGTTTTTGTAAAAGAGGTTGACCCTCAAATGCATATGTATTATAGAATTAATGTTTTTTATCTCAGTAAACAATAAATTAAAAATTTATAAAATTAAGCACGTACTCAAATTAGGAATTTTAGTGCAGTATTAAATAATCAAGTCTCGCATTCTCGTATAATACACAAGTATAATACACAAATTGCGCAAAAATAATAAAGATGATCATTAATTGTAATTATATAATTATATATTTTTGAAAAATATTCTATCTTTCAATAATAAGGTTTAATATATCTAATCTAATTAATACATACAATTCATCAGTTGTGTAAACATTTTTCATTTGCTCAAAGTGAAATATATACAGTTACTGTGGTAAAAGAAAAAATATGAGTTAATATTCCACGTTGGAATACTTACTTATGGAACATCAGAACAAAATACATGCAAAAACTACAACTACAACTTAGAGGTACAAGCTACATTTTAATTTTCGCTGAAACATCTACGAGACTTGTAAAACGTACATATCTTATCCTCTTTTTTTTTTTCAACTTTTATCTTTCATTTTCATAGTAGAAAAAGAGAGAAAAAAGAGGAAGAAAGAGAATTTATAATATAATTCTCGTGATAAAGTGCTGTTTAGCACCTGCATCAATGCCAAGTCGTCCCTTTGCAAGTCAACCCTTTCACCATGCTGATTCCTGTAGTAAACTAAGCAAGTAGATGAGAAATAACACGAAGCTGACACGGCGATTTATCTCGTCAAAATTTTTCCACGCAGATACAAGTTTTCGTAAAACAAGTAACTTCATTCTCGCGATCGAGCTTCCGCAACTTGTCCGAGAAGCGTTCGAGAACAAAAAAACTTTAGAACTAGTTGTATATATAAATTTTTTTATTCAATTTATCTTTTCCCTGATCCTCTACAAACGCAGTTTTCGCAATTTGCACGTCAAAATAAATTGCATATTCGGTGCAACAAGTTTAAAAATCTATTATATGACAGAAAAATGTTAACATACAATTTTTTCGTATCATTCTTAACAAATATATATTCACATAACTTTCAAAATCTCTCACCCTTAAAATTTGAAAAATGTAACTTATAAAATATTAACTTTTAGGAATTCTCGTTTCTATTTATCATAATTTTATTTATCATTTATTTCGTACCCATCGCATTTCACTGCGAAACGCGTTATAACCAACAAGCAAGTCGAAATGCGAGTCGAATAATTTTCTTTTCATTTCACAAAAGTTTCAGCCTTCTTTACGCTAACGTCGTACTAACGCATTCACGCATATTCTTAAAGTACGCGGTCGGTCTTGCAGTCCCCTCGATCGTGAAATGAAGTCCGTTATCCGCGGTAAAATCTGGCGGTATTAAGCTCGGCACCCCCGAACCTATTTCGCCATGAATAATTCATCGCGTGCAACGCGCTTATCCGAAACAATGCACACGGACGCGATCGACAAACCTCGTCATTCGGGAAATTAGCATTTTTATTCTGCGACGCGATGCCGATGGTCCTCCGCGTAACAACGGTTCGCCTGCGTAACTAATCGACCCCGAGTTTTGCACGACCTAATCACAATAATATGGTAAACTCGTCTCATGATAGAGACGATCCATAGGGGATCATTTCCTGATGACATGACATCGTGACGCGTACACTGACGTTGCTTATCGCCGATCAATTCTATACATGCCGACGATTCCATCCCGTAGAGTTTCCTTTAAGCTTCAATTCGATCCTGCCATCGTGATTACACTCGCTGAGATGACGCGCATCACGTTATCATCCAAAAGACGTAGCGGATTATCAGATTTCACAATCGATAATCTCGCGGTCGACGATTTAAATGGTGCAAAATGATATTACGCAGAAAGTACAATTATACTTTATAATTTCTACAGTTAATTTATATTTTCTGGTCTATCGTTAAAAATTAGAGGTGCGATTAATCCTCAGTTAATTTCAATAAATTAAATTTTCATAAATTTAATAAAGCGCGGATATCCTAAAGGACATCGTAAATGTGTCAACGTAAAAGCGGAATGTA